GTCAGGGACGAAACCTGTTTCATATTATAGAGTTCAACAAGGTGAACCGAATCGCGAAAACTGCAAGTCTCTAGGCTTATTAGGAAAAAAATTATAGCCATTTTACCCTCGCAGCGAAAAAAGACATTTTCTGGTGGACTTCGCCTAAACGCCTGCTGGTGGAATTCTAAAACGCCTGCTGACCACATTCCCTACCGTAGAACCTTGAAGTTGGTCTCAAATGAAAGAGCGCGTCGAGTTCTATATACTTCGATGAAGAAATGTTAGGCTAGGCCCCGGGATCTTGAGACAGAGATGTCTGAAAAACTCGGTTTTCAAGAATACCTAGTGACTTTAAAATTTCTTTCAAAAGTTTTTCAACTATATCATTGGAAAGCTCCTTCAATTCTCCACAAAATGAGATGCTGGCCACAGTGCTAGGATGTTGTGCGAAAATGCCATAGAAGATACGATACAGGTCGAAACTGCGGAACGAAAGCGAATCACTTTATATTCGTAATGTTAAACAAAATGAGATGTTGGCCACGTTTCTACGATGTCGGACGACCGAGTTACAAGCTGTTTAGCATTACGAATATAAACTGATTCGCTTTAATGCTTTATAATTTTTTCGCTGCGAGGGTAAAATGGCTATAATTTTTTTCCTAATAAGCCTAGAGACTTGCAGTTTTCGCGATTCGGTTCACCTTGTTGAACTCTATAATATGAAACAGGTTTCGTCCCTGACGTCAAAGGTCTATGTAAATAATGATAGGTTTTATATCGATCGACCCTATCCGCCAATGCCGAAAACATCACTCTGCAGTGGTAATATCCGAAAAAATAAGCGTTCACACTTTTAACTAGAAATGAATTACCAGCCATTTTGTAGAGTTTTAGAAAAGGTTTGTTTTGATATATAATGTAGACCGCAACCCAGGTTCTTTCATGGTAAAAGCACAAAAACATTATCCGTCAGTATGCTTGAAAACATCACACTTCCGTAGTAATATCCAGAAAAGTGAGTGTTCGCACTTCCAACTAGAAATGAGTTACTCACCATTTTGAAGAGTTTTGAAAGAGCATTCTTTCGATATATAATGTAGACCGCAACCTAGGTCCTCCATGGTGCGAAAGTTGAAATACTATCGTTGGCTATGCTGAAAAGATCAATTTTAACCGTAATATGGCAAAAACGTATGTAACATGATGTGCGTTTAAAAGAATAAAATATTCATTCGATTACAGTGAGTAAAAGGTATTTCATTCATATTCATTTATTTCATTTATATTCATTTCGACGTGCTCATATGATCTGCATGGATTAATCTCGATATTTTTTATCCAGTACAACCATATTGAAAAACGTAAATATATGTTAACCTATTTTGTAGATCAAAAAACAGCTGTAATTGTGCATGCTGGTGTCTCAAATAACCTTGGTTAGTTACATTTACTTTGACTACCTGGTTTTATTTTAGTCTCCATTTTGTTTTTTGTAGTCTTTTTTATGTATTTTCATTTTTTCCTGTTTAAAACATATCACGAATGATCACTAATGATAATAAATTTTGTAGAAACAAAATACTATACTATACTCAATGACGACAGGTGTTTTGGAAAACTACAAATACTTGGGGATATTATATTGTGTTTTTTCAGAACATGAACTTTCTTACCATGGTAGGTATCACAATCAAGAATGTGAGAGGAATAGATTTTTAATATTAATCTACTATTTAGCAGTGTTCATTATGTTCTTGCACACAAAATGTGACTGTATACAAATAGTCTTTTCCACGTGTTAATTAATAGGAATACATACACCTAAGTTATGCGTCATAAGTCATCAAAATTTATGTGGGATGATAACTGATTGAATATGTTTATGAAAAAAACGTACCTCAAATGTTTTTTATGCACGTTCTGTTGCTTGTTACTACATTGAAGAACGGACGTGTTATGCTTGATTAAATTTTTCCTTCACTAATAATTCTAATGAAGAAAGAAACATTATATGTCAGGCTTTCCATGTTTTTTACTCTCACTTTTTGAATCATACAACGTATGAAGATTTTTAGTTAATAAAAAATCAGTTTAAATTCAAAAGAACTTCCGATATAGAAAAGTATGTTGAGTTTATTCTTATTCTAAAATCAATCAATTACGTCTTTTTGTTGTCATTTTTAATCCAAACACTGACCTTCCGATAATATTTTGCTGATATAGATAAAAAACAAATAGTGATACATATATTATAGACAAAATTAAAACACTCAGGATAATTATATTTATCATTTTTTTTGGCTCTTTCCGAATTGAGACCACTTTTTTGCATTCACTCTCACTTGGCCCACTCTCTGATATTTGTTTGATGTAATTAAGGCTTCGAAATTTTTTTGATAAAAAGTGGTTTCAATTAGGAAGACTCGTTTTTTTTCTTTATTTTCGAATGTGTCGATTTCTAAACGCAGATGAAATCGTCAAATGCCGAATTGACTTTATGTTTTTTCTTTATCATAGACTTTAGTCTCAAAATATGAGTTACGAAGAAGTCGATCGTCCAATATCAGATACTGACATATTTACGCAAAAAGCTGCAGCTAGTCGCTATGCAAAACCAAAAAATGCCAATAGTTTACCGGTAAATTCTGATGACAAAAATGCTCCAGCGCCAACTCAATCTACTGAAATCAAACAAAAAAAAAAAAAAGTAAATAAACTCGCTGAGAATGGCGAACATGATTTGGATCAAAATAATTCAGAAGTTAAACCGCGAAAAAAGAAACGAGCACCAGAAATTGAAAATGGAGGCGATGTAACAACAACGACGACGAATGGTGAACAGGTCACCGATGTAAAACCAAAGAAAAAAGCGCCAAAAATACCAACAATAGATGAAAATGGATTAATTACCAAGGATGAAACAAAACCAAAGAAAATCAAAGCACCCAAAGTGCTTGTAGAAGATGTTGTTGAGGCAACAACAGAGGTCACAACTGATAAGGGTGATACTTATGATAAACTGAATAGAGAAATAAAACCAAAAAAAGTTAAAAAACCCAAAGCACCTAAACGAATGGACACTGAAAACGACGGGGACGAACCACCATATATTGATCCGAATCCCCGCTCATCTGATCCATTAGATGAGAGTCGTGCTCTAGCTGATGATGGACCAGAAGTAACGGATTTTCTTTCTGAGCCAGGTCTGACTAATATACCGACTTCAATAGCTATCGATGAAACACCACCAGATCAAACAAGTGAATTTGAAACAAATATTTTAACAGCATATGGTAAATTAGTGAATGTTAATTTCGCTCAATACGTCGGTAATGATAAATGGACAATAGAACATCCGCCAAAATCGTCAAAACAAACACGAAAAATATTTGGTTTCAAAAGAAATGAAAATGATAAATCACCAACTGTAAGACGAAAAGCAACTGCTCTTCTCACAAAATTTCGTACAGGCATGGGTGTATTGCTTCGTGATGAAAAAAATTTGGTTTTTGGTGAACAGGTTAGTGTATTTTTTGTTTTGGGTGCGGAGATTTAGTATTAAATTATACAACTTTAGTGTTCGTTCTTTATTTTAGTATCCTTATGATCAAGGGTTCTATAATGATGAAGAAGATGGTGTTGATACCGATAATTTGCATCGTTATGCTCAACGTTTACGAGAATTGGAAGATGAAGATCGTGAAATAAATCCAGAATTTCTCGTTTTAAAAGATGGTAAAACAATGTATGGTGTACATGAAGCGGGTGCCGAAGGAGAATCTATATTTAGTACAAGAAAACCGATATATGATCGACATAGTGATCAAACACCGGATGAAATTAAAGAAAAGAAAAAAATACTTGATCGTCTTCGAGGAACATTTCGTAAACAAAAAAGTGGAGAACAAAATGTAGTATCACCAAAAACGGATAAAGCATCAACATCAACACCAAAAGTTAATGGAAAAAATCGAAAATTAGATGTGACTACTGAGGTCATAGAGGATGAACAACTCGAATGAACGAAGAATAACTTTCATTTGTATATGAATTTACATGTTACGAGTAAAAGAAAGAAATTGTAACATTTTTGCATGAATTTGTTATTCGATTGTATAGGTCTTAGTCGGTCGTTTACCTTTTTCTCAACAAACCAGAAGCACTGAATACTCCTCAATGTCTCTATCAGAATTTTAGAAGAGTTTTGAGTGACATATATTGAGAATATACTGAATTTCTAAGGCTGTCATTTTTAAGCGCATCTATAAGGGTTAGAGGGATAATGAATTATATTTCAACTTGTTTTAATTTGCGTCTTTTTGGGAGACTGGTCTTACGTATTTGTCATTGAGCAGTTTTGACCGTTAGCTCAATCACATTTCCTTCTAATATTACTTGCAGATTCTTTTCCAGTTAAAATATAACCGTAAGATTTCGGATTGTCTTGAAGTCATCGATCACATCCGTGAATTTGTTTTTTGTCATAACCTGGCTCGAATCATGGGCTAAAATAGATCGATCCCTTCCGGATAGATGGTCTCCTGGCAAATAGTCCAACTTGAGAACATAGACAACATCGGTTCTGAAGATTACCGTTGTAAATATCTTTTAAGAAAAATCAAATATCAGTCAATTTTGAAAAAATGTTTGAACATACTCATTGAACTAATATTTTATTTTTCAAAAATTATGTAAATATCACTTTTCTTTAAAAAATTCCAAATAAAACTAACGAGCTATTAAAAAGTGTTGTCATAAAACATGTCCTAAAAGTTCTACCTTCAATCAATTGTTGATTATTAAGAAATATGATTATCTTGAATGTTTTACTTGGAAATGGTGCCTTCTTTACTCTCTGAAAGAAAAAAGGGCAGGATAGAATCGTTTCTTTGTGTGTATCCTATTTTAGAACTCTTTTCCTTTATTTTAGGATTCTAGAATTGGGTATAAACAAAGAAAAGATTCTATTCTGCACTTTTTTCTTTCAGACAGTAGTCTTGGAGATCTTTTGTAAAAGAGAGTTGAGAGACGGGAGACTGAAAACAAAAACCACAACTCTATTTTATATTACCACTTAGACGAATAAATTATTCTAAAACAACTTGACTTAATTATGAACATTTTTGTTCCATTTGTTATGAATGCACGAAACTATTACACCTATTGTGTAAATATCCTAAGCTCTTGTATTTGACGATAGCAGATCAAGATCTTCATTCTCCGTAAGTCATTAACGATTTAGAGAGACTATGTGGTAGATTATCCATAGGATTAATCTTTCTCGCTATTCTATATAAAAATTTCAAAGTACACGTAATTTATGAATACTTTTTAATTTAAATTAATTTTTTGTGATTTGTTTATTAATATAAAAAAGAAAACAACAACAATTAAAAAATGAATCCCAATAACGAATTTAAAATTAATTTTTTTGTTCTAAATGATTATATTTCTGTACAAAATATTTTTCATAGACATCAGTTGATACTTGTGGTAGATAAGCTCTCATCAATTCAATTTGTTGATATGTACAACGACTGAACGATAAAGATTTTTTGCTTGATACTTTTGGTTTATTATTATTTGGTTCATAATGACAATGTCGTGGAGAAGAAGTTCTGAACAAGAGAAAAACGATGAATGACTTGCCCATGTTAAAAAACTTATTAAACATGTTATTAGTAAAATAATTACCTTTTTTCTGAATAACTGGTATGTAATGTACGTTTTGATGGTACACTCTGAAATAGACAGCAAAAAACAAGTAGAATTAATATTTCTTCCTATCGTCATACCTTAGAACGTTTGTTCATTGTTTCAGCTTCTTTTTCATATCGGTTACATAATTTTTCCAAATATTTTTCAATATCAATCGCTTTCTTATTCATTGGATTAAATGCATTTTCCATCAAAATATTGTAGATGGCATGATTTATAATAATCTAACGGTGAAACGAGAAAAAAAGATACAGAAAAATAAAAAATTTCTTTTAATGTTTTTTTCTCACTCGTCTTACATATTGTTTATTAATTCTTGCACATTTTATTTTATACAATTCTTGAGCAATTAATTTATGACGTTCATATAGTTTGACAGATGTTGATATCTCATTTAGATTATTGTTAAGAATTTTTTTTGACTCTATTCTAAAGAAATTAGATCGTTTAAATGTATGCTTGAATTGAGTTAAAATATATTCGCGATTATACATTACTTTTTCCCATCATTTGATAATCGTCCGATTGTATTTTCTCTATTAACATTTCGTTTTCTTTTTTCAATATGACCTAATTGCCGATGTAACTTTGGTAAATACTCTACTTTAATTAAATGTTCTTGTTGTTCTAATAATGGTTTTACTTCTTCAGATTCTAAAACACTACTTGAATCTTTTGTTATTGGTACAAAATTTGATGAATTTTGACTTAATTGTCGATGAACAAATGAAGACTCGGTACCACTATCTGATGTTAACGTCATACTAGGTTTAGTAGATGAATCTGTTAGTATAATTGTATTTTTTGTCCCTGGTAATTGACAACGTCTAGCAGCTGTATTCATTAATTGATGATATTGTATTTGAACATCTTTTGGTGAATCAATTAAAGATTCAGATGATAAAAGTGTTGTTTTAAGTTTTTGAGAATGTTTATAATTGCGATAATATCGTTGAATAGAACGTGCATACATATTAGCAAGGATATTACCTCGTTGACCACTCGCATCAAGTAGAAATTTAGCACATAAATCTTGTTGACGAATTCGTGCTATATCAAATGGTGTCAAATAATTACTCTAAAAAGAATAAAAAATAAAGAATAAAAGAGCATACAACTCTATAATGAAAATACCGTTGATGTTCGTAATAGAATATTAATTCGCGCTCCATGTTTGATTAGAGTATCACACATATTATTATCACCATTAGACGCGGCTATATGTAGACAACTTCGATTTTCACCATTTCGAAAATCTACTTCTGACGGATTGCATTGTAAAATATGACTTACAAGCTCTAAATCATACGTAAAAACTCATCAGTATCCCGATGGTCATTTTTTTTCCATATTCTCCATACTTACTAGTTTCTCTGGCATTAACAGCTTCATGTAACGGGCAATCGCCACGTTTCGTTTTGATCCAAATATTACCATGATATCTTTCAAGCAATGTTAAACACTCAATATTTCCTTTGGTTGCGGCACAATGTATTGGACTAGAAAAAAGATATGTAGAGATATAACATAAAAATGGGTTTAATATTTCAATTACGTTCGTCCCCGATTATCTTGATGATTTGGATTTGCTTTTAAATCTAAAAGTACTTTACATGCATGCCCATGACCCATTGTCACAGCGTAAAATATTGGTGTACATCCGTTTACATCTTCGGCTATACAAACAATATGACATTGTTCATCTAATATTCTTTAAGTTTTTTTTATAAACAATTTGATTTATACTCACCTTCAATGTTACATTTACATTCTTCAATCAAAAATTTGATACAGTTGAGATATCCACGAGTCGACGAACAATGAAGAGCTACAAAACAAGAAAAAATGAATATTTTTCATTTTGTTTTAAAAATGATATACCTGTTAATCCATCCTTTTCGACACGGAACGGATCAGCACCAGACTTCCAAAGTAGCCTATTAGCCTGTACAGCTCCTACAAACAAAATCATTATTATGTACTATCTAAAGTACAATTTATTACGTCATTACCGGCACTAGCTGCCCAAATAAATGGTGTTCGTCTTTCATTATCAATACAGTCAACAGGTACATGACATGCAATTAACTTGTTCAATATTTGAAGTCCTATACAAAACATTTTTTTACTATCAAACATGTATTACAACAAAGGATATAATGATGCATCGTATTTTTTGGACTGATGGTAAATTCTGCATGTGCGATCAAACTATATAAATAACGAGATGCATTACAATAATCGTAACTAGTTTAACATTGAAGCCATGTTAACATCAACGGTTATATCGGTGCACTTTATATTCCTTGAGTATGATTATCTTGATGATAATAACTAATACCATCAATCCGAAAAATACAATGCATCATTATATACTTTTAAAAAAAATGTATACTTTGCTTTTACTTTTAACGGTGTCTCGACTAATATCATCTTCTAGAAGAGTATCCTCTCCACATATTTGTGATGCATAATGGATGGGATAAGCATGAAATATATCCGGTGTATGAAATGGTGCATTGTATTGAAGTAGAATATTAAAAAGTTCAACATGACCACAGACTAAAAGTGCATCACATTGGATAATTTCATGAGAATTTCTTATTATTATACATTTACCTGTTGCCCAATGAATGAGAGTATGTGATTCACTATCAACAAGTCTCACATCGGCTCCTTGTTCACACAAAAATTGTACGAGAGTTTCATTACTATTGATTACGGCTAAATGAATGGTAGAACAACCTTCTTTATCTTGTATATTTAATATATCTGACGATGATGACTGTAATAATAAACTTGCACATGTTGTTGTAGTATGTCCAAAACAATAGTGTAATGCTGTACGTCCTTGATAGTCGGTTTCCGTTAATTTAACCTAAAAAGAAAACAAAAAATGAACGGAAAAATTAAATATAACACTATCATTCCTAATCACATGATTATTTTCTGAGAAAAAGATGGTCGATTAGAAAACTGTGAAAAAAAAAACGAGTTTAGTAGAGCACAAATTGTTTGATAATAAATACTTAACTTAGAATTTTTGAGCTCTCCTAAAATCTTTTTTTAAGTTTTTTTTTTTAATCAACATTCTTTTATTAAAGTGTCGTCCGCTTACCCCTTGCGAAATAAGATTTTTAACTTCTTGTTCATTACATATTTGACATGCAAGCATTAATGGTGTGATAGTTTCTACTTCAGTCATCATTAATTAACTAAAATAGAGCATAAATTGTGTAAACTCTAAAAAACATAGAATTTTTAATGTTCAGATATTTTTACTTTTCATAATCTAACATTAGTATTCTTCTGTCAATCTTAGTACTTTTCTCTCGAATCATAGCAGCAGAAGTGAACTAGTCTGACTATTTTCAAGTTTATCCAATAAAAAATTGTTTAATTAGATAATAATAATATTTACTTGATTATAAAAATACAATTAAAACATCAAATATTAATGAGAATAAGAACAAGAAATAATAAATGTTTAATTAGTCTAATCGAGTTTATAGCATAAACTGAAATCATCACACTAATTTTTGTCCATCTTCTTAATAATTAAGTTGACAGATCTTACTTAGAACTGGAAACAAAAAAACTCTCAAGTTCAAATCAACTTTAAGTTTTCAACAAATTTTTTGAATCGAGTGAGATTTTGTTCACTTTTGAGTCAGAGATAATTAACAATTGTACACTTGATTGTCATTTTTTTTGGAAAACACGTATCTATCATCTGTTATTTTGCTTCTCTATTATAAATTTTCAAAATATTTGAATTTATTTTTTAATCACACATATTTTTTTGTTTACTTTAAAAATAATTGTCTTGTCTTAATCTATTTAGAAATTGATGCATGTTATATAACGATGATGTTTACAAAGATGAGCCTATTTAATCCTTAAAGATAAAGACTGTAAAATAAGAAAAATAGACTCGAAAATCCAAATATATTACTAGAAAAATGTATCTTTATTTTGACAATATCGTGTTGCATTTTTCTTTGCTTAAGCAAGAATTTAGATATATTTAATATTGTATGTCAAAATATTATACGTACGAATGCTTTTCTGACCCACATTAGTTCGGTGAACTATTACAATATAAATTCATTCTAGTTGAGAAAATTTCTTTTCAAAAGAACATCATTGACGCACATTAATCATCAATATAAAACACTCACCATAGTAAGAAAAGAAGAAGAATTATTAAAAGATGATCTATAACTTGGAAACAGGGTGAATTTACAAAAAGAAAAAGAGTTGTTAGAGTAACTAAAATTCAAAAGAATGGAAAAAAAAGAAAAGAAGAATGGAACTAACGTTAAGATAGAAGAATCAATAGTAATGAAACTCTCGTACAATTTTTGTGTGAACAAGGAGCCGATGTGAGACTTGTTGATAGTGAATCACATACTCTCATTCATTGGGCAACAGGTAAATGTATAATAATNTTATGAAATAAGAAGAAGGAAAAAAAAAAACCAAGATGATGCTATGAGATTATAAAATGAACAATAAATTATTCATTTAATAAAACGGGAAAAAATGTTTTATATACTATCTATCTATGACAACAACCAACCAATTCAAATATGATGAATGACAAGATAGAAAAATTAATAGAGGATGATAAGAACATTGTGTAGAAAAGTTGAATAAAACAAGTGAAAAGAATTAATTTTTCACTCGTTTAATTATTTATTCATTTAAATTTTCTGATAATGAAATTGTGTGTGTGTGCATCATTTTTTATTTTATAAATACATACCATATTTAAACAATATATATAGTTAAATATAAAATATTAATATATTTATTTTTATTCGTCAAAAAACACCAAAGTAATTTGACATTTGGTTAAAAATTAGATCATAATGAAAGACTGATTTTTCTTTACTTTATAAATAGAAACTATTATTAAATAAATTTTTTTATTATTTTTCTATTAATTTATATTGTAGTTTTTTAAAATATTTGATTTTAATCTTTTTCTTTTTTAACGGTAATTAGGATAGTATATCAAATACTTCTTATTTTAAATATGTAGTTCTATTCAATGAGGTATGAGTAATAAAGATTCTCGTGACAACAAACGATTTCTAGTAGAAAAATTTGATGGATGATTGTGAGCGTAACTTGACTCTTGACTACTTGAATCTTTGATGTTGGAGAAGAAGCGCTTCTTTTTCTTTTTTTTTCTGTACGAAAAAATGTAGAAAAATTATTTTATTTTTTATTTTGAAAAAAAAGAATACATTGAGAAGTCGTTTGACGTATCAAGTTTTTCAATGGGTAGAAGAAAGCACCTAACGTAAACATGTACTTTTAGTAAAATGTTCAATGTTTTCTTGGATAACACACATTCTAAAAAATATGTTTTATCGAACAAAAATTTTTTATATAGACAGAAGAAAATATCGTGTGTCTGTATTCAAGCTCAAGACCTTCGTGGCAGTTTGTGAGCTTTTACTGATAATAAATATTACAAAACAATAGTTAAAGAAAATTGAATGACATATAATGTGATTGGTGTCTGTTTTACCACACTTTAAATGGATCACATTATATAGCCTGTGCTCCTTCAATTTTGTATAACTGATGAATAGATAAAATATGATCGAATTATGTTCTAAAAATTTAAGTATCTTATTATTATCTTACACACTATGTGGTTTTTGTTTTGCGTTGTTTTTTTTTATTATTTATGACAATGTGACAAAGTGTACGAATCAGTTGCCTATTATAGTATGGACTA